TTTTTAAACCCTTTCTTTCTACCAACCCCTTATTTTGTATTGGTTGTAACATATGAATTAATTAAGAATTTCTTCAGTTCTTCATTTTCAATGATGAACCAGTTCATGTTTTAAGTTATAATAGAGCCTGAGGCCAGCCTGCTTTTTTGTAATTTCTGACAGGCTTTATTCTGTTGCTTGCTTTATTTTAGCATTGGGCAGCTTTTGTGGCTGAGTAGTTTAAAGGTCTTTTGTTTTAAGCCACCTGTCCCTTACTGCTGTTGACCAATTTAAAAGAATACAGCTTTTCAAACAGAGTGTGTGCATTCTTTAATTTAAATTAGACAAATTCAGGAAAAATGACATTTTACCCGAATATGAGCATAGTATATCTTTAAGGATTTGATATCAACTTTCTTGGCATTTACAATCGTGGACATTTTCACATGGAAAAAAATATAGTGATGTTAGGGTAAAGTGAAAAAAATAATTGATTGTCCATTGGTTATAAAAATTATGTAGATATATTTTCTAATGATAGTGTACCAGTGATGGTGCACCAATAAATAAAGTTATGGAAAGTTTTAGTCAATAAAATAATTGTAACTGAATTATTTATTTTCATAAATTTAATAATATATTTTTATCATGGAATGCTTTTTTATCTTTTATAATGTTTTTGCTACTTTGGGTTTATTGTATAGATTTTACTTTTGCTTCTTTGTACAAATTATTGTAGGTACAAACTCCACTTTGAATAGTTTGTGCTATGCTTACTGCAGAACCGGGTGCTATAGGATTTTTAAATTTTATATTCTTTGGAGTGGGTATTTTTATAGGTGGGGAAAAAGATAAAAAACTGCAGACCTAAATGATTTAACTAGTAAGAGAATTTTTACTGGTAAGAAATCCCAACTGAAATGGTCAGTAACCAAGCAATTGTGTAGATCAAAGAAATTATTGTAAAACATATTGTTTTCTTTGGGGGTTCCTTTAGTACAATTATGTTGTGTTGACTGTAAATATTGTAATTAGGAATATGTTGTTTTCTGATAGATTTCATGTATATTCATTTTAAAAAACAACACAAAGTCAGAAACAAATACAAATCTTCAGTTGATGTCAAATTTTATAGTTTTTAGGTCACATTTATAAATTTATCTTTCTGAGTCACATAGGAATTGAAATATCAATTTGATATGTATGATATGTAAAATGTTTGAAAATCATTGATAAAGTCTTCTTTTTAAAGTTTTATTTGAAGTATAACTGGTTATTGTATTACCATTTACTTAGTTATGATATTTTTAGGATTTGAGTGTTTAAGTCATTTATGAGTAAGGTGTGCACCTTAAAATGCACTACATGACAAGTAATATAAGTTTGATCCCTTTGACTTAAACTTTATTTTTGGATGTCTTTGATCATGCTAATTAAACAATAATTTATTGTATCTCATAGGTTAGGGGATAAACGGTTCAGCTCCAACGAATCTCTCGAAACAATCAGCTGGGGTGCCGTGTCTGAGCGTGTTGATAAACGAGCATCTGGGTCTTCACACCTACGAGACGGACGACCTAGGACACCAAATAAACGACCAAAGAGTGGCACCCCAGACGGTATCATGAGAACGCCAGGGTCTAGCTCCAACTTCAAACTAGAAGTTGGAATGAGTGTTTTCTGTAACAACGAACTTGGTAAATATTATTTACTGATGATAAATGTTATAACTTACATAGTTCAAAAAGTTGGTTTAAACATTTTTGTTTAAGGCAGATTAATAAAACAACTTCTTGTCAATATTTCAACAGTTGTGAAGTAGGAAAGTTATATTTTGTACTTGATTGTACCTCATTCCAATTTGTATTTTTTCGGCCCTATAGTTGTCAGCCAAGTCGCCTTCCTTAGCTCTGGGAATATATTACACCAACAAAAATTCCTGCCCCATATTACCAAAATGTCATTTGTGTCAGAAAAGATTTTAGGTTTTTCTGTGATTTATTATGTAAAAATTGTTCTTCTCATCCACGTTTAATTTAAAATTATCAAAATTACAGGAAATGTAAGGTACATTGGTCCAACTGACTTTGGTGACGGCATTTGGGTCGGTGTCGAGTTACGTACAGCGAAAGGAAAAAACGATGGATCAGTGCAGGGTAAACGATACTTCTCGTGTAAAAACGAGCATGGACTTATTGTGCGACCAAATAAAATCACTGTGAGGGGGATCAATGGTGCGAAGTTAGTCTCAGAAATGTTTGGGCAGGCGAATAGCGAAACAACGCATACAAACGGGGATGTGAAGTGAAGGAAATAACATTGAGATTCTTAAAAAGATTTTTAAATAAACGGATATGTACGGAAAGTGTTTGATATTATATAGATCGAAGCGACAGCAAGTACTGACAGTAGAGTTTATTTTTACAGTGCCTAGACACAAATAAGTCATATCGCTAAGGGAGACAATCCTAGTAGACTTTAAAATGTTTGTAATTTTTTTTTTTTTTGCGCACAAACACTGAGAAAACCCTTGTATCGAGTTACAATGTTTTTACATTATTTATTGAATATATTCAGACACATGATCAATATCTTGTTGGAGATTAAAATTTGATATTTGTACACCAAAGATCAGTCAACTGTATGAATCATTGTACAAAATGCTTTCCTTTTTTATTTAGTTACTTTGTATTTCACATTTTGCTGACTAAACAAAACTTTTTTGTTTTTGCTTGTTAGGAGTTGATCAAATAGACCGCATCTTCTGAGATATTTGAAACAAAATGTTGCCATATTATTCATATATGATAGAAAAGTAGTTAATAAGAAATATTTCTGGTCATGTGACCACTTAGCGTTTCTTAAATACAATACAAAAAATAAATGTGATCATGTGACCATGTATTATTACTAATATCCAATGAAAAGATATATGTCTGGTCATGTGACCATTTTCTGTTACATAAATACAATAAAAAGTTTATTTTTTAAAGATGATACTATGATATACAATGCATACTTGCCAATATTTTGAAATAACACTAGTTTTAGTGTAACATAATTTATGATTAAAGATATTAATTTTATTAACCCTATTATTGAGTGCAAATTTGATCTTATCAAAACAGATTAGTAAAACTTTTTGTGAATTAAATTATTAAATGTCTGTGAATAAATCTTGACACAAATATTATACTTTGGCAATACATAAGTTTTATTTTTGTCAAAGGCTCTAGTGTTATAAACTGAATTTATATGTCATATATTATTATCTTCCAGAAAACATGATACCATTATTGCAATATTATCAAAGCTGTCTGAATATATAATTATAGTACAGTTTATTAATTGACCAATCACAGGCTAGCATTATCTTAAGACAATTTGGTCTGGCAGTGAGGCTAGCATTCCTGATATCAGCACAGTTTGTTAATTGACCAATCACAAGCAAGCACTATTTTTAACCAGGTTTTCAACGAAAACCGGGTTATTGTAATGCCGAAGTCGGCGGGCGGGCGTCAACTTTTGGTTTCCGCTCAATAACTTTAGTTTGCTTTGGCCTATTGACACCAAACTTGGTGTATGGATAGTTATATCAAGAGGCAGCTTGGGATTGCTACCCAGGTGTCTGTGATCAAGGTCAAGGTCACTGTTACTAAAAATAGAAATTCAGTTTCCGCTCAATAACTTGAGTTTGCTTTGACCTATTGACACCAAACTTGGTGTATGGATAGCTTATATCAAGAGGCAGCTTGGGATTGCTACCCAGGTGTCTGTGATCAAGGTCAAGGTCACTGTTACTAAAAATAGAAATTCAGTTTCCGCTCAATAACTTGAGTTTGCTTTGGCCTATTGACACCAAACTTGGTGTATGGATAGCTTATATCAAGAGGCAGCTTGGGATTGCTACCCAGGTGTCTGTGATCAAGGTCAAGGTCACTGTTACTAAAAATAGAAATTCAGTTTCCGCTCAATAACTTGAGTTTGCTTTGACCTATTGACACCAAACTTGGTGTATGGATAGCTTATATCAAGAGGCAGCTTTGGATTGCTACCCAGGTGTCTGTGATCAAGGTCAAGGTCACTGTTACTAAAAATAGAAATTCAGTTTCCGCTCAATAACTTGAGTTTGCTTTGGCCTATTGACACCAAACTTGGTGTATGGATAGCTTATATCAAGAGGCAGCTTGGGATTGCTACCCAGGTGTCTGTGATCAAGGTCAAGGTCACTGTTACTAAAAATAGAAATTCAGTTTCCGCTCAATAACTTGAGTTTGCTTTGGCCTATTGACACCAAACTTGGTGTATGGATAGCTTATATCAAGAGGCAGCTTGGGATTGCTACCCAGGTGTCTGTGATCAAGGTCAAGGTCACTGTTACTAAAAATAGAAATTCAGTTTTCGCTCTATAACTTGAGTTTGCTTTGGCCTATTGACACCAAACTTGGTGTATGGATAGCTTATATCAAGAGGCAACTTGGGATTGCTATCCAGGTGTCTGTGATTAAGGTCAAGGTCACTGTTACTAAAAATAGAAATTCAGTTTCCGCTCAATAACTTGAGTTTGCTTTGGCCTTTTGACACCAAACTTGATGAATGGGTAGCTTGTATCAAGAGGCAGCTTGGGATTGCTACCCAGGTGTCTGTGATCAAGGTTAATGTATTTAGTTTTCATGTTATAACTTGAGTTTGCTTTGACCTTTTGACAATAAACTTGCTGAGTGGCAGCTTTTGATTGCTACTTAGATATCTGGGAGCAATTTCAAGGTCATTTGCTTACAATAGAATTTTCAGCTTCTACTCATTAACTTCAGTGTACTTTGACCTATTGATTGCTGTCACATTAAAATTTGGTCTTTGAAAACCTGGTTTTCGTCGCATTGCGGCGCTTCTTGTTAATCATTTTGGTTTGGCAATGAGGCTAGCATGTCTAATTTAAGCACAGTATGCTTATTGACCAATCACAAGCAAGCATTATTTTTAAACATGGGTTTTCAGTTTGTAACACATATCTCCCTAACAATAGGGTAACATCTGTCCCGCATTTACAGCTACAAAGACAAAGTGTCTCATTTTCTACATGTGATAATTTACTTATTTTTATGTATAACATTGGATTTCAGTTATCATTTTTTCATACTGCTATTTATTTCAATCTTCCATTTCTTTGTTTTTTGTTTTTGTTGTATTTTATTTCATGCTTTCTGGTAAACAAATAACAATTCCAGATATCCATGCAGTGGCCAGTTTGCCTCTCGTTCCATCCTTTACCCACAGGTTCTACAGTCTCCAAAGCATCTTTATGTATTGATGAATATCTTAGATATTAGTTATGTTTGTATTTCATCATGTTAGTGCAGTAATGGGTTAACTCCTTATATAATTTAATAGGAGTTAACCTGTTACTGCACTAAGGTGATGATAAAGGACTTAAATATCCCACTACAGCCTTTGGTCTTAGAGGTCAAATTAACTGAGGCTATTTTGTCACCTTAGTCCAGTAATGGCTTAACGTCTATTGAACTTTAAAGGAGTTGACCCGTTATTGCACTAAGGTGACAATTTACATATTTTTCTAGGTTTCTGCATGGTTTCACCATCTAAAGCTTCATCATGAAGCACCAACCTAAATTCTAGTTTTAAACATGGAAAAAGTTATTCATCAATAATTTTACATATCGACTGCATTGCATTTCTTTTATTTAGTAAAATTTTACCACGTCTTTTTCTATGTGAAATCAACATGTGTCATCTATAATTATATCAATGTCTTTTTGTAAGCAAGAATAATGTGCATATTAGTTAAACTGGCTTTAAATGTAAACATTGTTTTTTTATGTTTTGCAGACATTCCATTTATGCTTATAAAAGGTAATCTTCACTACATGCTTAAAATTCATGTTAGAATGGAGTATTGGTGAAGAAAATTAATGTGTCTGTTTAACTGAATGCCTTCTACATTTTTTAACTGTATATCTACAAGTTCAAATGGTCATTTGTCTTTCATGGCTGAGTCGGAAATGATGTTGAATAAGTATCTGGTCATTTGCGGAGAAATTGATAATTACAAAATGTACTAGTTAGTTATCCTTAAAAGCAGGTAAGGTGGAATGAAAGCCAAGATATGACCAAAAACGTGAATTGGCATGATTAGATTTCAATGGAACTTTTGTAGTAAAGATACATTGTAGACCTAGTTATATTGGAATGAGGTACCTTGATTTTGATTAAGATTTTTTGTGTGCATTTAATGATAAAGGGGTTTTCTATGTTTCCATTATTTAATTACAGTAAATGCTGTCTTTTAAGGCCACTGACTATACTAAAAGTGGTCTAAATAGTGAAATGGTCTTAATGGTGAATATGCCATTTAAAGAATGTATTACAGTCTCTGGCAAAGTTTGTGAGTTTTTGCTGAAATTTGAGAACAAAAGCTTGTGTGAGAGGAAACAGTTTAAGATTGATTTTACAGAGTGGTTAAAATACTTTTGTCTTTTTTGTCTTTTCTTAAATAGATTTAGATTTAATTTGGTATGGAATAATATACATGGACATTTAAAACAACATGTACGGTACAATTATTTAACAGACATGAGAATAAATAAGCCGTGACATTCACACCAACACCAAGTATAGCACAAAAAGAGAGACTTATTCCATTGTGGATTAAGAAATTGTAAAATCAGACTTTTTAAAATTCTTACTTATTAATTATAATAATGACCAGCTTGTCAAAATATCATTAAAAATAAATGGTGTTGCCCCTCTTAACATTAGCTTATTAGCTAATGTTTCTTGTAATATGTAAACCGACTTAAAATAAAGTTTCTTGTATCTTGTATCTTCACAGCTAATTCAAGTAACAGTCTGCTTGTTATAGATAACAACTGTCCACTTTGTTTGGACTTTCCATGTAAATTCTGTGTGCCAAAAAATAAATAGAAAGGAGATATGTTTTTGTTTAAGTTATATTTTATTATTTTTGTTAGTTATTAGTATTTAGTTTGTGTTTTTTTCTGCCATTTTATATTTAGTTCTGACTATAGTCCTTTATTTTATTACATCAACCTTCCTTTTTTGTGCATTTTTTTATTTCCGTGCATGTATTTTGAGACTTTGGTTTTCATAGTGCTAGAGAATACAGATTTGATATTTTATTTCATTTGTATATTTTTGGACTAAGAAGCCTTGATTGGGCTTTGTGGTAAATTGTTATTTTACACCAGGTTTAAAGTTCATTATTTCATTGAAAACATTTTATGTGACTATTTAGTTGAGGAAAAAACTGCACATTACTCCTAATAATTGGAAAATACTGTATGGGATAGAATAATATATATTACTTAAAAATTGTCTGAAAGTATTTTTTCAATTATGCTCTAAGAAAAATATATCTAAATTGTTTTATGTTTAAAGCACAGGTTTTCACACAAATTTGATTTATAGTTGGAGGAGGTCAATGAGTTTTACACAAATTTGACTTATGATGTATCTTGTACACAAGTTTGACAGTATCTTTTACAGAAGTTTGACTGTATCTGTTTCTGTATTTAACTCTTAACACGAATTTGTTTTTTAATTGAATTGTCCATTTTCTATTTTTGGAATTGTCCATTATCAATTTTAGGGATATTTAGATGACAAAGTTAAGTCAACCAACATTATAGAGCCTGGAAAGACTGCAAGGATATGCAGGCTGACCTGGTTCTATACAGGTGGCAAAGGCTGGTCACTTTCGTACCGGCAGTTTAAGGATTGAATCAAAAGAGGAACAACCAGTTCCATAATGATTAAGATTTTTTTCAACCCTCAGAATTAATCTTTTACTTTTTTAACCTTTGCAAGTGACCCGTTGCCAAGTCTTAAGGAGCCACTTCCTAAATTACTATAAGATGATATGGGTTGAATCCATATGGTGTAATTTCTTACATAAAATATTTTTGCAAAGTCTTCTCTTTCAGATAACTTTGAAGTTATTCTTTGTAACAGTATTTTAAGTATTTGATGAAATTTCAAGGAAATTGATGTGAATATTCATACAAATGATTGTAAGATCATGTGGGCTACAGCCATGTTTCCTTGTGCAAATTCTTTCTTAGAAAATATATAATGAAAAGTTATTTTTTCACAATTTTGCACTATTATCTATTGTTGTTACAAGTTTGTATCTTTTTTTCAAGCAAATACAGTTACCTTTCTTACAAGTCCCATGTTTAAAGCCATGCCTATTTTCTACTGTACATGTATGTTCATTTTTCATAGGTTTGAAATTTAAGAAAAATGTATATTTCTTGCCTGAAATAAGCCTTCTTTCTAAATTGCTTTATTTATATTTTGCTTATTTTGCTCTTTTTTTTCCAGAATGTTAATGTTTTAATGCCTCATGAATTTTTATGACTGTCATATGAAATAAAACTGAAAATACTATAATTTGGCTTTATTTTTCATTCTTTTTTTTTCAAAGAAAGTTACACCCAGATATTTTATCAAAAGAGTAATCATTGAAAATATGTAAAATGTCATGAGTCACTGGTTAGTAGTGACACAGTATCATGTTATGGGGAATTGGTTAGTACTGTAACATATCATGTGTCATTGGTTAGGACTGTATCAGTATTATGTCATAGATCATTGGTAAGGACAGTATCATGTTATGGGGCATGTGTTTATACTGTAACATGTTATGGGTTGTTGGTTAGGACTGTATCATGTCAATGGGCATTGGTTAGTACTGTATCATGTCAATGGGCATTGGTTAGTACTGTATCATGTCATATGTCATTGGCAAGTACTGTATCATGTCATATGTCATTGGTGAGGACTGTATCATGTCATATGTCATTGGTGAGGACTGTATCATATCATATGTCATTGGTGAGGACTGTATAATGTCATGTGCCATTGGTGAGGACTGTATCATGTCTTTGTATCATTGGTGAGGACTGTATAATGTCATGTGCCATTGGTGAGGACTGTATCATATCATTTGTCATTGGTGAGGACTGTATCATGTCATGTATCATTGGTGAGGACTGTATAATGTCATGTGCCATTGGTGAGGACTGTATCATGTCTTGTATCATTGGTGAGGACTGTATAATGTCATGTGCCATTGGTGAGGACTGTATCATATCATTTGTCATTGGTGAGGACTGTATCATATCATTTGTCATTGGTGAGGACTGTATCATATCATGTGTCATTGGTGAGGACTGTATCATGTCATGTATCATTGGTGAGGACTGTATCATGTCATGTATCATTGGTGAGGACTGTATCATGTCATGTGCCATTGGTGAGGACTGTATCATGTCATGTGCCATTGGTGAGGACTGTATCATATCATGTATCATTGGTGAGGACTGTATCATGTCATGTATCATTGGTCATGTATCATTGGTGAGGACTGTATCATATCATGTGTCATTGGTGAGGACTGTATCATATCATGTGTCATTGGTGAGGACTGTATCATGTCATGTATCATTGGTCATGTATCATTGGTGAGGACTGTATCATGTCATGTGTCATTGGTGAGGACTGTATCATATCATATGTTATTGGTGAGGACTGTATCATGTCATGTGTCATTGGTGAGGACTGTATCATATCATGTGTCATTGGTGAGGACTGTATCATGTCATGTATCATTGGTGAGGACTGTATCATGTCATGTATCATTGGTGAGGACTGTAGCATGTCATGTGTCATTGGTGAGGACTGTATCATGTCATGTATCATTGGTGAGGACTGTATCATGTCATGTATCATTGGTGAGGACTGTATCATATCATGTGTCATTGGTGAGGACTGTATCATGTTCATGTGCCATTGGTGAGGACTGTATCATGTCTTGTATCATTGGTGAGGACTGTATCATGTCATGTGCCATTGGTGAGGACTGTATCATATCATGTATCATTGGTGAGGACTGTATCATGTCATGTGTCATTGGTGAGGACTGTATCATGTCATGTGCCATTGGTGAGGACTGTATCATGTCATGTGCCATTGGTGAGGACTGTATAATGTCATGTGCCATTGGTGAGGACTGTATCATATCATGTGTCATTGGTGAGGACTGTATAATGTCATGTGCCATTGGTGAGGACTGTATCATATCATGTGTCATTGGTGAGGACTGTATAATGTCATGTGCCATTGGTGAGGACTGTATCATATCATTTGTCATTGGTGAGGACTGTATCATGTCATGTATCATTGGTTGAGGACTGTATCATGTCATGTATCATTGGTGAGGACTGTATCATATCATGTGTCATTGGTGAGGACTGTATAATGTCATGTGCCATTGGTGAGGACTGTATCATATCATGTGCCATTGGTGAGGACTGTATAATGTCATGTGCCATTGGTGAGGACTGTATCATATCATTTGTCATTGGTGAGGACTGTATCATGTCATGTATCATTGGTGAGGACTGTATCATGTCCTGTATCATTGGTGAGGACTGTATCATGTCATGTGTCATTGGTGAGGACTGTATCATGTCATGTGTCATTGGTGAGGACTGTATCATGTCATAGAGAATGGGTTATTACTGTAACATGTCATGGGACACTATCGGTTGTTGATTAGGACAGTCATTGGTTAGTACTGTAACATGTAATGGATTGTTGGTTAGGGCAGTATCATGTCATTTGTCATTGGATAGTACTCTAGCATGTAATGGGTCAGTATCATGTCATAGTGCATTGGTTAGTGTCATATATCATTTATTAGTACTGTATCATGCCATGAGTTATTAGGTAATAATGTATCAAGTCATTGGATAGGACAATGCCATGTCATTGGTTGGTACTGTATCATGTCATATAACTGAGTCTCAATTTACCGTGCTGAATACTTTAAAAAAAAGACCAGTTATTGTACATGTACAGAAATAAATTACAAGACTGAATATGTTTCAGTCTCATTTTTCTAACATTTTCTGCTTTGAATTAGGAACTGTCCACCAAGTTTATATGATACATGCACTGGTAAATTATAACACCGCCCCTGCTGTCGTTGGGTTGCGGCAATTCTGGATGATAAAACCCAGGTAAAGGCTATGTTTAACGGGATACAGTCAAGTCCCGACTATATAGCTACAAACTGCAAAGCTACATATACCTGTTTCCCATTTGGACTCCAATATGAAACCACAACATTGATCTTGCTATGTGGGGACAGATGGATGGAAAAAAATATGGCTTATTTTTTGCCAGACCCATTCCCGGGTAGGGGCGAGGTTACTAATGACTACCGGCACATAATATGGAAGTATGTAGCCAACCTAATAACATCGAGTCTAACAAAGTGACGGAGGATTAGACTGGTATGGCCCAATACTTAAAGTAATGCCGAGTCATTAATACAAGTATAAATTAATATTGGTATCATTCTGAAGGTTAAGTAAGAGGGGGTTAAATAACCACTAAAGAGAAATTTTAGTGGCCAATATCACGTCATTGTGTTATCATTTTATGATAAAACATTGATATAGCCTCACATTTTACATTGTTAAATTTGTGTTATCACAGATTATCACTGTCAACATCAAATAAACACGGTTACAGTCCATGTAAATATTGACTAATATGTAGTTAACAATAAAATATGTAAAATTATATATGTACATATGCTATTGTGAACGAATATATCGATATATCTTTTACGGACTATTGTTATTTTAAGGCTCTTCTAAGAATTGGGATATAATGAAATCTGAAAAGGTTTAGATTTTTGAAAAACATCTGATTATGTAGCGGATATTTGCCATAAATAATTGAAAAGTTTATTTAGGTCATTAAATTTTAGATGAATTTAATACACAACAACGGCATAAATGGAGTAAATATGAGGATACTTGGATTTCAGATTTCTGTTCTGCTGTCTATTATCAATGGTAAGTCTGTCTTGTTTGTTTGTGTTTGTTGTTATTTTGTTTGTGTTTTTGTTTGTGATTTTTGTGTTGTAACTGTTGTTATTGTTGTTGTCTTTTTGTCCTTCTCGATCCGTATCACAGGTGGCAGTAAGTATCACTGATTGAACACCCCAGTTATTGTCTGTAATAATAATTTTGATAGTGGAATTTTTTTTTCATAATTTTATCGGTGGTTTTGTATTTGGTACCTTATTATAAGCCTAAGAGTGTTGAATTTTTTTCAGGATTATAGTAGGGGTCCAGGGGCAGATAGGGGTGGGTGTCAAAATACTGATACTGCCACCTGTGATCCGTATATTTTGTTAGTTATAAAGATTTTGGACATGTTACTTAACCCTATTATAAACAGTTATATTGTAACAATCGTTTCTATACGGCCATATTACCAGACAAACATTTATTACGAATTTATAATACTGCAAACTTCCTCCTTTTTTTAAGAAAAAAGAAATAATTCTTCGTAAATTGACAGATGCCGTGTATATTATTATTTATGAAGATTTTTGACAGGTCATATGGCCTTATATAAACTGTTGTTTGGAAATGTAACTTAAGCCGCTAGGCCATATAACCTGTCTGAGATCTTTATAACGAATTTATAATAAAGCAAGCATCATTTTAGGTGAAAAAAATGTGAAATTTCTTCATAAATTTACAGCAGCCTTGCATATTAAATTATAGAAACGTCACGATTATCCAATTAAAAGCGACGTTACAAACGTGCAGTGTTACGAGTATAACCGTGGTTTGAATATTGGATGGTATACAATGACTATGTACATGTTATGTCGTTTTTGGCGTGTCATACAGAAAAGATAGTGTTAATATTGTTGTATTACTTGTAATCAAACTTTTTTAAATCTCTTCTTTGAGAACTTTTGATGAATTTATATTGGTTATGGAGTGGAATTGCAACTGTTAGAATGCTTTTGTTAGCTGACAGCATGGTCTTCAACGTACCCTTTTATAAACTATGACATGACGTGATTATCAGGTGAAAAACAGTGTTAGAACGCGGCTAATAAAGTTTTGGAAGCCATAACTATTTGTTTTTACATTTAGCGCATAAATTCGGCCAACTTCGTCTTTATGTGTGATATCTTTATTGTTGTTCATTTGTTGTTGTTTCTCATTTTGAGAACGATTAAGTCACGAATAGTAAAGTCAAAATATTCCGAATTTTCACAAAATTATAATGGAATTACATTAATATAAGACATATATTAATGCAAACAATTATATTTTTTCTAGCTAATCCGTGTTTTAATATAAGACATATATTTACGCAAACAATTGTATTTTTTCTAGTTAATCCGTGTTTTATTTTTTTGTCTCCTTAGGTGTACAGCTAAAACAAGTGTGTGATACATGTAAGTAGTACAAGCAGACGATTTAAATTATTTACTAGTATTATGCTTATATAAAATTAAAGTAACATTATGTCGATCCGGGTGTAACTGGTCAGTGAATAGATAAAAAATAGTTTACATTTTGCAATAATGGTATTTAATTTCATATTTAATTATGAAAAAATAATAAGTCATCCACAAAATGTACTGAACATTTCTATAAATAACGTTAAGAATGTATCGGTAACGTTCAAGACTTAAAAAGAGTGCGACAGTCTTTTTATAATCAAGGTAATTATTATATTGTATCAAAACATGTGTTATTATTAATTATTGGTCAATCACCATTGGTTCAAACATATGTATTTTAGCTCGATTGCGCAACTCCTATTAATCTCTTTCAAATCCGGTTCCTGGAACAAGCTAGTACTTGTGTCATATGAAGAAAAATGGTCATGACTCGAGTAGGGATCGAACCCATGAACTTTGGGTTGAGAGGCAGACACCTTAATCACTAGGCCACCGCTCCCCTTACCGTTATAAAGCCAATCTATTGAAATATGCAATGTAAATATACTTCATATCGGCTTCACAGAGAAAAATGAGCATAATGTCACTTTAGGAATTAAAACTGCAATATTACTATTTTCCATATAGCTAAACAAATCAACTAATCTTGTATTATATATTTTTATTGTTCTATGCGTGTTACAGTTAAAATAAGAACCATGTAAGACATCTAAATGTTATTCACGTAATTTTAATCTCAAGTCTAGATATTTATTGTTCTTTTTTCAGTTCTCAAAGTTCCAGACGATAGCAAACGAGCCTATAAATACGGTGACAGTGTGAATTTTAGCTGTGAAGTCAACACAACGTCTATCAGTCAAAATATCTCGACCTTTCATCTTTTGCATTTAGGAAGTCAAATTAAGTTTCCAATAACTAACGTATCGGGAAACGTTGGTTTCGCAAATGTCAAGGTCGTTTCCAGGGATACGGGCGGGAACTACAGTTGTCGCTATGGCAACTGCACGATGGACACTTTACTTTCCTTGTCTTTTGTGAAAGTTGACAAGTGTAGCTTTCCGGCACAAAATAAAACCAAAGTCCCGACAATAGATTGTAAAGTAAACGATTTATTTAACATGACTTGTAGCTGGACGTCCTTGACCGATGATGGTTGTACGATGTGGAAAGCCATGTATAAGTCAGAGTAAGTTATTACTATATACATATAGAGCCTAGGAGCCTAAGCATTTTACACAATATACTTTTCATTTCCGAAAAGGTCTGAAAATATATAATAACTATATTAATTAATCCTGTTAGTTTTATTCCGACTCTGCCACCTCTATGACAAGTTGATATTGACGGACCTACCAGTGTGTCCCCTCAGAGAGCTTTGTGTTTCGACGTTCTTTCTATAACAGGATGCAATCAGTGTATTTTGCTATTACATTATGTATTATCTTTTACACTAAGAGGCAATCAGTGACACGTGTTAAATACTTTAACTGAACACATACTTCTTTACAATGCACGTGTAAGAATTTACGTTGAAAACCATTTGATTTCAGGGAAATGGACAAATACAAGTGTTGCTCAGCAGACGGCAGTGGAAATTGCACGTCATCAAGTAGCAGACGACATTGTAACATACCGGATACAGATTTCAATAGATTCGTCCCATTCAACGTTAGTCATTAAAGTAAAATCTCCTAAACAGAGTATAATTTACGTATATCCTCCTGAATCCTGTATCACTGGCCCCAGAGAAATACTCAATTTTTCAAAACATACTCTCGTTTACCTGAATTTGTTATACTGGCTCACGGAATATTTTAAGGATCATTCCACTATTTGAATTGTTTTATATTTGTTCAGTACGTTTTAAGTAAATTTAAATGTATCTATACATTTGTGTATAATAATTTTTATATTTTCCAGATAACGCTCATAGAAAAGTCGGAACAATGGACAAATGAATATAACTATACTGTGGTAGGAAGTGACAAAATATGTAAGTGATGTCATTTTTATGAATTTATTAATTAGACCACTGGGTTGCATTTTAAAGAAAGTCTTATGTCTGAAATCAGTCTTAAGGCCAAACCTGAGACATTTTTGCATTTCAAAGAAAATGTTCGGACTTATGACTTCTATATGTTATGACTCTTTTTATTTTTGAATAACAATGCTGATGGGCATTTACCAATTACGAATAAAAGGGTCTATCATTATATTCTTAACTTTTCTTTGGAGAATGTATTATTTGTAGTCTACAGTATTCGACTGAAAATAAAACTGTTTATTTAAACGGTCTTTAATTATTCCTAAAGTTAGTTTTATGTCCTAGGACTTAGGATACACTTAGGAATTTCTATGAAACGCAGCCCAAGGCTGAAGTTAACGTAAAATCCTCAATTAATTAAAGTGAAAAACTTCGCATTTTTCACTTCAATTCTTCTTACAATTGTTCTTTTCGGTGTTGGCGTATTTTTACTTCTAAATAATCGAATAATGTATACATATAAGCGACATTATGACATATTATTCAGTAATTTGACGCATATAAATGATAATCTGAGGTAGTGTTACGGTATTGCTTCATATTATCATAGACTTTTCTCCTCGCACCAAAATTCATTACAAAGAAAGTGTCCGCATTGTCTCGAACGACTAAGTTTGAGAAAGATCAAGATTTCTTGTCTATTTAATGTCTGCAATTTCAAGAAAGTTTAGTATGATATTAATCTTGTTAGTAGGCTAATCGAAACTGACAATTTTGTGATTGTGGGATACGTGCGCCATTTTTAAACAAATAGTTCATTTTCAGCAAGCGTTGATATTTACCCGGGTGTGAGAATTGAGCCTGGACTCGACGCACACACCCTTGTGGTCGGGTTCACCCTCCACCATCCTCCGTCGACAGTGGGCGGAATGGTTTGTCACGTGATATACTTATCGGAATGGAAGCTTCAAAATGATTCGGTAAAATCTATTTAAATTACAAGACTTTGAATTAACTAAATGAAATTCTATTCCTGCAAAAAAATCGGTTGAAATGTTGTTTTAAAACATTGATCAATGAGTCTAAAGAGTCAAAGAAATTTATAATTTACCTGTATATGTGGATAATTAAATCTTTCCACCGATCCGAAATGAATATCCGAAACCAACTAAATCATGTTTATTTCTAAAAGTTTTCATTAAAATTCAGGTTTATCTGAACTATATAGGGATAGTTTTAAAGGTAAACAATTTATTCAGGTAATCGTAATTATATATGTTCATGAAGTATAAAATTCTTATTACTACGGATACTTGATAAATGCAACCTTTATGCAGGCGTCACACTGTCCCGAAATTGACACCAGATGTGCACACGAATATTGAATTTGAAATTTCGCGCGAAGATGGGCCCGAAATTGGTCGACAGCCCCTCAACAGCCGAAGCAAGTACGAAAGTCAGGCGATCGCATCCGATCCACACACGATTCCTACCGAAGGTCACGCGATGGCATCATATCCATACACGAGGTCACCTCAAAGATGCAAATTGTTACCAAGTAGACGTCGTATTTTGAGTACGATGTGTTCGTACGTGGTTTGGAAGGCATCAAATGACCTCCGGGTGGTATAAAACCTTCGGTCAACCGCGGCAAATTTCAATGGCAGATAATATTGGGAGCAAAAACAAAGTTTGAACTTTATTTTGGATCTTCATATTACTATCGAACACAATTCTATTCACACAAAAGAGAAGATTTTGATTTTGGTATGGTAAATTATCCACATTTAGATTGAGACGTACCGCATGCAACATCTTACGGGATATACTTATCTCAGTTAATTAGATTCGCAAGAACTTGTAGCAACGTAAAGGATTTAAACCAGCAAACTAATTTAAATTATAAAACTTTTTATTGAAAGAGGTAATGAACCTACCGCATGCTTAGTGTTCAACACTTTTACATTTAGACGCTACACTTTCCTCTTTTGAGTACACCTGTCGGACCAAGTGGGAGACTCGATGATGGACAGTTCTTAAGTTTGGGACTGAATTGCCTTAATGTTCGTCTTCTGTCTTCTGGCTCTGTTAGTTGGGCCCTTGTATGTGATTTTCTTGTTGCTCTGTCTTCCTTTAAGACATTGAGTATATTTATTATGGTCAAAGGGTTTTCTTTTATATGTTTCTACATGATCATTTCAGTGTTCACCTTTTGTAACCATAACAACTGTTAGAATTTCACATGGCGGAGATTCATTTTATTTACACTGTCTCGTTTATAGGAACATAGTGGGGCTTAGAGTGAGGTTTTTTGCACCATTAACCGGTTTAAACTCGCCATCAGTACTTATGCTGCTGACCGTTCCAAGGCGGCGCACCTCTGTGTTCCTCAGTTGTATGTATGTTGTTTTATACTGCTTTGGTGACATATTTGTCTGTGTCCCTTGTATTCTCGTCTGCGGTAGGTATCTTCCCTTTTGCCCCTAGTTTCATTTCTTTTATTTTGCCCTCCCCCCTCCATCGAATCTCTAACCCCCTTCCCCTGTGTCCTTGCTTTGTGGGCCTATTGATTAATCATTTATTTGTTTTCTTTGATTTCCTTGTCGGGTACTATTAATTCTTCTTATACATGTATATTGTTTTAGTGATTAGCCTGTCCTTGCTCTGCCTTGCGCTGTCCTGTTTTTGTTTGGGGTCCTCCTGGGCTCCTTGCTTCTAGTTCTTGCTGCTGGGTCGTGTGGGGGTTGCATTCATTGAACGCTACCTTTCCTTGTTGATCTTGTTTATCATATTTGATCAAAATTTATCATGCTACCCAAGGTGGGCCTTCAGGAGTTGCTAATCATGTTTCTAAGTTGTATAAAAATTAGCAATGCTGCTGTCTTCTTTTTCTCGGTTGACTAATTATCAAAGCATGACATTCTGCAGGAAATAAACTGAAAATAATTGTTTATTTATTGCAAATAATGAAAGATTTTGATATCTCTGTAGAGATGTGCAAGACTGACAGATGAAAAAGATGGTCTGATGCTAGATCTTTATATGTCCACCATGATTAATATGCAACGCTTGTTGATCCACTCAAATTTGCTTTGTTCGTACTCATCGTGGTCCCATCTGGATGGTATCTTTCCAAAACACGATGACGACACGACGGTATTACGGGGGCTTCACGTAGTCGTGTTCCCTTCTAAAGACAATAGAGAATCTTCGTGTTTCCTTCGTACTGTCTTCTTGAGGCGATTGCACCGATGATCACACGAAGTAAAGACGAAAACTACACGATTTGACAAGATGGCTTCACGACGACCTTACGAAGCGCAAAATTGGCATACGAATTCAACACGAAAATGAACCTTCGCAATGTCCTCCGGCAATTTTTTGGCATGCCAAAGATTTTGCGACCGCTCACAAAGTTGCTGCCGGAGCCTGAAAAATTTAGCCGGGGGGGGGGGTAATACGATGGCAAAAGATGCCCTTACGAATACGAATGGCCCGATGTTATTACGATCAGATCCGAATTCGAACATTTCCTTATTCGTGTGTCCATTTGATGCCAAATTCGGGACAGTGTGACGCCTGCATTAGAAAATCAAAGGGCTGCAACCTCTGTGGTATTTTCTGACCTTTGCAATCTAAATCATACTGACTATCTGTATGTATTTTCCTATATAAGTTTATTTTTATATACTATAATTAATCTTACGCAGCGACTGCGTCTAAAACAGTTTGAGATTGATACATATGGAATTTTGCATGACTAGAGTTGCATCAAAAAATCATTTTCATTTTTTATGACAGCCATACTTTATCCTTGCATATCGTGGTTACTTCCTTAAAAAAGACACTTCAAAAAAAAAGTTGCCTCGACTAGGATTTGAACCTTGGGCCTCTCACACCCTAAACGAGCGCGCTACCTCTGCACCACGGGGAAGTAATACATATGTAGCTTGAATAATAACAAATACATTGTAATTCTAAATTGACACTGATGAAAATAATTTAGCGAAAATCTTCTCGCCAAAACAGTACGACATGTATATATTCCACTACTCGACAGTCAGATTTATGTGTACTACGCTCTGGAGTATTCGGTAATCGACATAGCTAAAAATAGCATTTTCATTGATTAAGCTTTACGGAAATAGCCGAACATTTTTCATTGGGTAAAGAAGATATTCATCCGCGAAATTTGTGATTGTAACCTCATATTTCTATTGACTACGTAATTCGTTAAATGCATACATTAAAAAATATTCTTTATTTTAAATTGCTGGTTTTTAAGCAGTTCTGAGTGAGAACTACTTTGCGTTGTTAGGTCTGTTAGGAAAATTTGTGTTAGACCGTGGATGTTAGCTATGTATTTACTGATCTTGCGATCAGAAAATACAAAAATGATGTATGGAAAAAGGAAGCAGGTGTTTGGTATAGCATTCAATTTTAAGTGATTTTATGTTTATGAAAAAAATATGACAATACGGGAACCAAACAATTGAAGTTATAGTATACATCGAGCAACGAATAATCTATAAGTTTATCACATTTTAAAACATAAATATTCCAGAAAATCACACTGGACACGAATCATTTTGATCTCGACGTTAATATTTCGCTTCACCATCTCATTCCTTTCACTCGTTACACCGTGAATATTATCTGCAAGCCAGTAACCAGCCATTACTGGAGCAATCTGGTCACGGGTTTGGGCAGGACGAGACCCGCAGGTATGTTGTACTTTATATGAAGTTTCTGAAAGCATTCAACCGTATCCGCATACTGTTTAGTCTCTGGGGACAAACCATTAATTCTGGTGGTATCATTTAATTAAATGAATGCCATAGATTAGATGAATAGCATGAAGTGTCAGAATGCCAAACATTAAATGCCATACATTAACACTTAATGCCTTTTTTGTATAACGATTTCTCAAGGAATGAATTCGTAACCTAATATCTTTAAAGTGGCATTTTTTTTGGTTAGAACAAAAAATCTGTTTTGTTTCAAACTAAGTATTTCAGTAATTATACCTTAGAGAAGTACATAATATTATGGTTAAGCCTTCCTGAGAGCGGCAGTGACGCTCGTTTCTAAAAATAAAAGATCGTTTTAATAAGTTACATAAAGAGAGCGGACCGGTAGATAAGGGGTATCGAGGGGTTTCCTATCGGCGGCAAATTTCCATCCTGATAATTTTTATTTGACAATTATATGAAACGATTTATCTAAATTAACCTGTAAAAAAGCTGTAAACAGCTTAAGACCGTTTAAAGTGTATAAAAGCTATATATATTTCGTGTCGTATAATGTACAAATACTGTTTATATTGTGATCAAAATGATTAAACAATACCTACAATGAAAGATTGCTGTCAGTTTATTTATCAAAAGTAAGCGGGCAGTAAGTTAGTGAACTCATCGCCAACATCTACTAAAATAACAGCGGAATGTTTTGCTCCAGATCATATTTTGTTTAATAAGTAAAATATTCATTTTACACACTGTAATTATTACAGCATTCAGTATGCCTGTCGGTCGCTTACTTCTATTTTACTATTGGACACATCACTTAGCTAGTTTCTAAGCTAGTAAGTTAGTTAGTGTGTTAGTGTGTATGTTTTAGTATGTACTTTTTTCTATTTTCTTTTCTATATTTTATTTTTTGTGTTTTATCAATACTTTTGTATTGACTTTGTCATAATGATATATCTATAAACGGCAAAAGACAAATGTTTTTGCTGAATGCCAATAAACTTTGAACTTTGATGATTTGGTTTAAAGATTGTATGGTAAACTTGCAATAAAATATGACTGATTTTATGCCATTCTTGGTGGTGTCATTACTTTTGAGATGCTACTTTTTTGAATTTTCAGTGCCATTAGATGTCCCGAAGATAATTGGATATTCTAATATATGGACAAAGTCCACATCCACCAGTTACAGCAAGTTGTTTCTATATTTAGAGGTAAAATCTTCACATTCAAGTAATAAATCAATTTTTTTTTAAAAGCCCATTATGCCTCAGAAATGCTATCATTTCAATTTCATAAAAACTTAACAAAATTTACAGATTCTTTGAATATACTTATTTGCTATTAAATTAACTGTCTTTTGCTCTGTTGACAATCGGTATAATTATAGTTAATCAGTATTTTGTATCGAAGTTAAGTTACTGCTTTGTTTACATTTTGCTTCCTTAACCAAACATGACTTCATGTTCAGATCTACTTCTTTCAGTTCAAACATCTAACATGCACTTAATCCATTATATAAGTATTCTTTAACACATGCTTGACATTTTATTAAGAACAAAAAATGATATTATTTAGGCAAAATGTGCCATTCAATAATGATAAGGTACGTTGTTTTAGATCATAATTAAAGTAGAATAAATTTTATAGTGTGTAAAGCAATAACAAATGAACACTGTCTCAGCAGAACGTAATTTCAACGGCAATTATTATGTTCTATGATATTGCTTTTTAAATTTGGGTTATTAAATTTTTTCGTGTAGATTTGCGAAAAAGGTTAAAAACACGAAAATACCGGGTATTGCCTCTCTGAACGGTTTAAAACAACAAAGCATGACAAAACTATTTTTGATTTTTTTTTTAAATTTAACAGTTTAGAGTTAACATCAATACTAAACAATTTATTTTTTCCCTTTTTCTCAGAAATTAGATTCATCTAAATTAAATAGTTTTTAGCTCACCTCACAAAGTGACAGGGTGAGCTTTTGTGATCGCTTTTCGTCCGGCGTCCGTCCGTCGTCCGTCCGTCGTCCGTCCGTAAACTTTTAATTTAAATAACATCTCCTCATAAACCACTAATGCCTACGTCACATTACAAGCGGGGACCGCCCGATATAGAGGGATCGTTTGGACACCGTTGATAATTTGAGATCGGAGAGAAACATTTCAATCATGTCCGGGAAGAAGTGGGCGGTCATTCTCGCTCTGTAGTCCACTCAGGTATTCGGACGGTTTCCGAAGGGTACTCGCCCGGTCACCCGGTGAAAACCCTTGGCATCTTCTTTCTGGACACCGGTCGATATACTAAAGGTAACAGGCAGACTACCGTACGATAAATGTCCAATTGCCGTCCGTTATCTGGCCTGTTTGCAACAATCGTACGGTGACAGTAAAGTATACGTGCGATATCTGGTCGGCTGTCGGACGGTATTTGTATGGCATGCTATCCAATTTTCCGGTCGTTATTCACACCCCGTCTTTTGCAGGCATTTTCCTTGCCTTTTACCCTCTGATTTCTCCCCCACCCCTTCTTTGCTTTTTGTTTTGGAAGGTACATTACACTCTGACATCATAGTTTTCCTTAAAAGATTGTAAATGAAACTTAAAAACTTTAAGAAACATCTGACGTGTGTGAAAACTGAGAGAATATGTGTGTGTATTTAAGTTTCTTAATACTCGCCATCGGTTGCTCGTATAGGCGAGTCCTCCAGATTTAGCCGTTTTGGATTTAGGAGGACAGCGCAAGATACAGATAGCAATATGCCACAATTTCAGAAAAATATGAAAAACAAGATCAATAAGGAAGGCGGCGTTCAATGAACGCAACCACGACACTATCCAGCAACACAGGATGACAACCGTCAAGGAACCAAGCAGTACACCAAACAATTTTCTTCTTTACCTATCCAAGTGTTTGAGCACTAATACACGGGACTTCGCTTTAAAATCTCGTCCGAAAGATTCCTAGTAATTTCCCGGGAATCGAACCCACAATGTCCAGATTACAAGTCTAGCGATTTAACCGATTCAGCTCTGAACACTGGCTAATGAGAGAATGATGGTGGTATTTATGATTTACCCTGAAGACTATGGCAACCAAAATATACATACCAGAGCATAGTTCAGCCACTGCATCGTTCCTGGACAGTCTGTCAAGCAGTTAAACAGTAATAATCTCTTTCACTTTCGCAAGGTACTGATAACTTCTGTACAACGAAAGTGACCTTCGCCGTTGTCCAAGAATTGAACACGGGTCGCCTTATTCTCAGTCCAAGGCTTTACCTGCTGTATGATCTGTTTAATAACCCTAACGCTATCCTTACGGACACCTTAGGACCATACGTGCAACGTTCTTTGTCCATCCGGGCCCTGGTCAGTAACCTGTCGAGACGCCTTCGGTCACCGCTCATATACCGCTCGGAAATTGGAAGAATATTTGGCACCTAGGAGGTGAAAATTTTAACCGGTATGTAACCGATAACAAAAAGTGTCCGGCCGGGTATCGGAGGGTATTTTACCGTGTCTGCTACGGTGAGCTGGCGATGTACCGGATGCCGGAAGAAAATAACTCTGCACTAAAATTCTCCGATTACCTGTACGGGGCCCCACCGGTCACTTGACACCGGAGGGTTACCGGCCGGAGACCTTTAAAAAAGTGGCAATTTCAACCCGTTCAGACATCGGTACCCAATCGTAAACCTAATCGGAGTGTAATGTTACGCAGGCTTAAGCCAATTTCATCCAAACTTCACAGGAATGTTCCTTTGGTGGTCACCTTTGAAAATTGTTCAAAGAATTTAATTCCATGCAGAACTCTGGTTGCCATGGCAACCGAAAGAAGAAACTTTAAATATCTTCTTTTAAAAAACCCAAAGAGCTAGAGCTTAGATATTTGGCATGAAACATCTTCTAGTGAGTGTCTACCAAGTTTGTTCAAATAAAAGCCCTGATGTCAAAATTTGCCCCGCCCAAGGGGGGTCATTGATTTTCCCTATATGCATTTAGTAAAAACTTAAAAATTCTTCTTTTAAAGAACCCAAAGAGCTAGAGCTAAGATATTTAGCATGAAACATCTTCTAATGAGTGTCTATCAAGTTTGTTCAAATAAAAGCCCCTGGGTCAAAATTGGCCACGCCCCAGGGGGTCATTGATTTTCCCTTTATGCATATAGTAAAAACTTAAAAAATCTTCTTTTAAAGAACTCAAAGAGCTGGAGCTAAGCTATTTAGCATGAAACATCTTCTAATGAGTGTCTACCAAGTTTGTTCAAATAAAAGCCCTGGGGTTAAAATTGGCCCCGCCCCAGGGGGTCATTGATTTTCCCTATATGCATATAGTAAAAACTTAAAAACTTCTTTAAAAGAACTCAAAGAGCTAGAGCTAAGCTATTTAGCATGAAACATCTTCTAGTGAGTGTCTACCAAGTTTGTTCAAATAAAAGCCTTTGGGTCAAAATTGGCCCCGCCCCGGGAGTCATTGATTTTCCTTATATGTGTATAGCAAAAACTTAAAAAATCTTTTTTGAAAAAAAACAACAAATAGCTAGAGTTTAGATATTAAGCATGAATGAGTGTCTACAAAGTTTGTTCAAATAAAAGCCCTGGGATTAAAATTGGCCCCGCCCTGGGGGGTCATTGATTTTCCTTATATGTGTATAGCAAAAACTTTAAAATCTTCTTTGAAAAAACACAAATAGCTAGAGTTTAGATATTAAGCATGAAACATCTTCTAGTAAGTGTCTACAAAGCTTGTTCAAATAAAAGCCCTGGGGTCAAAACTGGCCCCGCCCCAGGGGTGTCATTGTTTTTAACTATATGTGTATTTCTTTGAAAAACCCCAATGAGCTAGAGCTTAGATGTTTAGCATGAAACATCTTCTTATGGGTGCCTACCAAGTTTGTTCAAATAAAAGCCCTTGAGTTTAAAATTTTGGCCCTGCCGAGGGGGAGTCTTGTTTTTTCGATTTATATGGTGTAGTAAAAAAATTAACACCATTGAAACACTTCTAATGGTGTCTTTCCAAAAAGTTTGTTTCAAATAAAAGCCCCTGGGGTTTAAACGGCCCCGCCCCTTTGGGGCCTATATACAGGTGAGGACCTCAAGGGCCATCATGGCCCTATTTGTTATCATGTATATTTTATTTCAAAGCTGTCCCTAAATATTTTTTAATAATAGTCGTAATAATTCATCAAGTAACGTTGCATAACCTGTATTGGGTTTTTCATCTTTCAACAAACAAGCCGTTGACGATAAAGTCTTTTGGTATGGGGAATGAAACACATCTTAAACTTGGTTTCATAATGGCTGCAATGAGACAACTTATAAACAAAGCATTTCCCCTTACACAGTGACGTCAGAATTGTTTCAACCAAAAATCGACAAAAACCAATCCTCCTGCCGATCAGCGTGCGTACCGAAAACAGAGGCTGGGTCTTCAAAGCGGTCGGATCCTGTTTTCGTATTGCCAATCTAAACGAGGAAGGTATACAAAAAAAAACTCTGTTCCGTTACAAAAAATTCAATCTTTTAGCATAGCATTACATTTACTTTAACATTTAACCTAAATTAAGTTGTTAAATAAGAAAAAAAACACACACTTTTTTATTGTTGATAATGCTTAATATCTTTATTGATCTCTTTTAAATAAAAACGGTTTCATGTAAATCTTCAAACTGAAATCCTTCAAATGAAATCTTATATCAAACACCAGACAGCATTCTCCTTTTTTATGGAAGGCGTTTAAAAACATAGGTTCAAATACAGCGTAACGCAATGTCTTAACTTTATCGGAAATTTACCATCATACTGGACGAATATATTTTTTTCCATTTTCAGATCAACCAGTGCTTGTTGTCGAGAAGACCAAGGGCAACATACAACTTTCGCTGTACTCTAAATATGACGATAACTATGAAATTTCAACGTATTACTACTGTCAAGGCACACCAAATACATATCCACCCATCTGCAAAGTAATTTGTTTCTTCCTTACTATAGGAAGAATTATTATTACTTCTAAATGTACATTTTGTTTAAAATTAAACGCCTCTTTGGCCTGACAACCAAGAGCACGTAATGTTACTTGACAACTGGTGTGTGCGTTGTAATTGTGACAAAAGGTCTTGTGGTGACATACTTGAAGAAAATATATTGATTTTGAGTAACCATTTGCCTTTCTTTAATTTTTTTTGGATATACCATTTTATTTTAAGGAAAGTTAAATGCTGTGTACTTAACCAGCAGAATGTTGTCAGTAAACTTGACCAGTTTTCAATTTTTCTTATCTGCCCATCATCAAGGTGGTGATCTAATGCTACTTAGCAAACAGTATAAAGTCTGGTCAGAATGTACGGATGTGTAGGATGTGTTGGCTCTATACTGGCCAAAGAGGATTATCACATTTGGTTCAAGCAAGTTAAGGGTTAAAAATGTAGATTTTAACACGTGAATAATATTGTCGAACTTATCATCTTTTGGCTCTTTGCTTCCCGAGCAAACAAAGAAACAACTAAACAAACAAACAATATTTGACTATGAAATGCTTATCAGTTTAGAATTAGTTTTTGCAATAACCATGCATTTGTCACTTAAAGCTGTATTTACAATAACTATATTTGAATTATGTTGGCATATCTTTGCATTAAACGAACTTCTTTCTCTTTCATATCTGTTTGCGTTTGTTTTGTCGTTTTTGTCTGTTTTACTGGGTTGTGTTTTTGTTGTTTTATTTTGGTTATTTAATTGTTTTAAATGTCTGTTTGTGTATTGGCTTTTGTTTGTTGTACTTGTGTGCATAATTTGATCTACTTGCAGACCTAATTTTAAGAGAAGACATTGAACCAAAGATTTCAGCTGCCTGGTAACTTGACCAATTATTCAAGTGAATGGTACTTTGGTATTACGTCATCAGCGGAGGATGGGAGAATCATATGGTCCAATTGTGTATTCTCATCGGAGAGTAAGTCAAGTTATTGTGAAATATTTTCGTATTATTTATTTATTTACATTTATCAAAACTTAAGTCAGCTATATTTATAAAAACCTTGTTAAGGGGTATGGTTTGTAGATTGCATGAACCACTGCATAGGCTCCGTCAAACCAAGCCTGCAATAATTCCAATTTTGCAATTTTTGATCAGCTATTTAGTTGACATTTTATCCTTTTTTGACATATTACAGATGAAGTAATTTATAAAAATGGATGAATATACACTTGCTATTTGTTTGATATGTTTGGATGCATAAATTATGTATCAAATGTTTTTTGTTTCTTTGTTGTGTTTTTCAAGTGTTAATGTTAACATTATAGAATATATATTTTTTCTATATTAACTTTTCAGGCGCGGTAAGTCAGAAACAAGATCAACTCGAACTATCTGCATCTGCGTTGCCTAGCAACGAGAGCGTCGCGAGACTACACCTTCTTTTTGATTACTGCAGCCTGAAGAAAAGGCCGCTTTTGTATGAAGTAGCAATCCGGGAAGCGACACAAAAGCAAACTAAAATCTGCAGTGCCAACAATGTATCAGGTACAATTAATTGTACCTAGAGACTATAATTTAAATGTTTATAATCACCATTATCAAAATAGTAATAATTATGATAGTAATAATCATAATCATAATAATAGTAGTAATATTTATACTGATAATGATAATGATGATGACGATTTTTTCGTCAAACTTTTATATAAAGAAGCTACTTATTTGAATTTGCTTATTTTCAGCGGTTTCAAAATTTCTTTCTGCCACCGCTTTCGTCAGACGGGGAGACCGCATTATG